TATGAGGGCCAGACTCCTTGTAAATTCACATACGTGGACCATTTTTTTCACTAAGCCCTAAACCCCAAACCCAAAACCTTGAATCGCAACAGACTTTGGGGGAGAAGTGATTTTGGAGTTGAATCCTGCCAGTACTTGGGTGCAAGCTGTGGCGAATCAGCTTTGCTCCTGCTCCTTCCTTTCTCCCCGAAGGCTCCTCGCGATGGTGGTGGTGCAAAATTTGCAGAGGCCATGCTCCGGAGAGCCGGATTTGCTGTAAATTCTGACGCGCGGACATTTTTTTTGCCTCGGGGGCTTTGCATCGGAGCGGTGTTCCTCCTGAATCCCGCCAGTACTTGGGAGAAAGCATGTGGACCGTGGTCCTGAACCCGCAAGTATTTGGGGGACTCATTTGGGACGTGGTTTTGAATGTCGTCGGCCTTATCGCTGTAGTCTGGAGTCCGGCCAATATTTGGGGCATCTGGTCTCGTGATGGTCCGGTATCATTACTTCCATAATCCATATGAGCCAGCCAGCTGGACATATTCCATCTCACTGTCGGATGTCAATGTCACGGACTGGTTGCCTGTTGGGATGATGTCAAGGACTGACCGTTCTTTTTTGCCTGCACGTAGCTGTGAGGGCTCACGGTATTGCATGTCCTGACTGTTCTGGTTGTCCTACTGATCGCGTGTCGTGGTCGTCGTGGTGCGCTTTCATGGCTTGGGGATCTACGATGGCACAATTGTGGATGATCACTGCGTCCATCGTGGAGTCCTCTTGTGTTGGCCTGTTCACGGACTTGGTTCGAGCTGCGATCGCAGGGAAGGGAAGGTGAGAGCAGGCAATGGGCATCCCTCTTGTGCAAAACAACACATTCGGGTTGTTTCCAGTTGCCTTCGTCTCTGTATCGTGCTTGCATTCCCGTTCCCTGCTGCCCTGCTGCCCTGCTTGATGTTTCTTACTGTAAGTGGCTGTTAGCACCCGTCTTGTTTGTGTTATGCACCGGCCGTCCGTCCGAGTGATGTAGGCAGCCCAAAATGATCCCAGTATTCCCGATGCAAGAAGTAGAGGACAAGCATGCCGCAAGTGGTTCTTGTGCGAAGCTTTAATCGGCTGTCAGTGTCAGATGTTGTTGCTCAGACCCACTCTGAGTCACAGGACGACATGACATCGGCATGATTTGAGCGCTGAACATGGGGTGAAGATGGTGGTGATAGGTGTTTATGCGAATGGCAGCAGCTGGTCGAGATCAGTGTGTCTTAGTACAAAAATTCCGTTGCATCTGTCATTCCGTGGCGAGTCTCGTTCAATTCCTGCAGTTTGCTCAGTGATTCGGTCCAACACTTAATGCTGTTCATGCTGTTCACTACTTCCTCTTCTTTCCATGTCTATTGCTCGATTGCGTCGTCTGCCACTCCGGTGCAGCAGACTGATCTTCATCGTGCTATTGGGCAAGGCACGAGGCGGGCTTAACTGCAGAACTCAGGCCACGGGACAAAGGTCCCTGGAGACTGGTCGCTAGGAGCTCTGTTGAGAACCTTCGTTCACGTTCTCTCAACGTCGCGCCACGAGCCATCAGGTCATTCCTCGTTCAGGCTGTGAAGGCTTGAGCTTGAGCCAATGCACAGCCCCAGCTGGCCCGCTCTACTCGACTGCGCTGTGAGAGGCCGGAGCTGGATCGGAGGAGGCTCGGAGGACGACCTGTCCGGTGCGCTGTGCTCGCCTCTGGCATCTGCTTTCACAGGGAGACTTTGATGCGACTCGACATCCGGTGCGACGGTTCGATGAGGTCAGACTCCGTCGCAGCAGCAGCTGCTGCGGAAGAGGCGGCAGTCTTCGAATGTAAGGGATATATGCAAGGGTCGCGACAGCGCGACCCCGGTGATGTGGACAGAGCCAGGACGGCAGTTCACCAGCGGTGATGGACGAGGCCTTCGCCACTATAGAGTCGAGAAACGATTGCTTGCATGCGACTGGGAAATCGGTCTTCTGCACTTCCGTTCCCACAGGTCTTTTTCCGAGGCGCTAACAGGGTTCTCACAATTTGCCAACCACTATACGTCGAAAGCTTGAATACCTGCTGCTTGCCTGCCGTAGGTTCTAGACACCTCATTGGGGAGAGCCTCTTGCTCTAGTCACAGGTCGGGGTATTATGACACATGTCAAGGGGCGACTGGTTCCTGTGATCTTTAAGTCTTGTTGCTGCTGCCCACCTTCGTGTCTCGCATTGCCGCATGTATGGTAACCTCGCTATGAACTGCATGAGGAGCCGGGTTTGTTACGGTCCTCAGGGTATCCTTCGTCTCGAGAGCTATCTGCCCACCTGTGCGACACAACTTCTCGGATGCCGGCGAAGGGAAGACATGAGACATTGCATGGCCATGTCGAATGATCACAAGATCTCCAGCATGTGCAGTCCCTTGGTGTATCTTCCGTTGTGACAATAACTGTGAGGATCAGAAAGTGAGCTGTTGCGAGATGTGAGATGTTTCTATCGGCGGTCATGAGACTCGATAGATGTTGTCTTCTCTGAACTACGCCTCATGCTCAGCACTAACCGGTCCCGTGTTTTCATCTTTCGCGCTTGCAGGTGGTGGCATTCAGCAGTCGAGATGCGTGGAGATCACTTCTGACACAGCTCGGAACCGAGCAGTGAAGTTCCTGCACCGCATCACTGGCCACCCTGACGATCAGGAACCACATTTGGTATCTATTGTCGCAAGGCCGCTCGTTGCATGCCGCAGACTGAGTTGGCGGTGCGGATGCCTTGAGCTCCTGAGCTGTGAATACACATCTGCCACGTCGAGGTGCTGCTGCTTAGCCAGTCGCCTGTCCGTGTTGTCACCAACTTGCTGATATTCGAGAACCGCACAAAGGACTGCACATGTTCTGAATTGCACTGTCTCGAACGGGCTGTTCCGGAACCGTTGCCAGATCAATCAAAGTGCTTTGCTGGGCTTATCTGGGCAGGCTGCGGCACTCTGCGCACTGAATGGTTGGGATGCGAAGCCGCGAGCCATAGTTTGGTCGGTGGTCGTCGACATGTTTCGCTTTGCAGAGAAGGGTGATCCCATGTACTTACAGTCAAGATCAGGCAATTGCCATTGCTCTGGGCTTAGCACGGCGGGTGGGCTTCGTGATTGTTTACCTGCCAAAGAGCATGAGGCTTACTCTGTTTCTCGGCTTACGCTTCAGAGAGCTGGATGAGCCCTGGAGCCAAGACATGATCATGATCATGCCGTTTAATCTTACTGATCTGGGAGTTTCTGAGGATCCGCCAAAGCCTAGGCTTGCTGCGGCCCGACCAGGACAGGCCCCGAGCTGTCCTTCGCTGTCGAATGGCGCCTTTCAAGCCGAACGCCGCGTTTCAAGCGTAGCGCCGCGCTTCAAAGATGCGTGATGCCAGCACAATCCCGGTTCAGGGGGATGCGGCTTGACGCAAGGCGTCCCGCCCTTTCTCGCGTCTCTCGTAGTTAACATGCAGCGCGGCAGCCTGCCGGCAAAGCTGAAAATTCCACAACTCTGGCAAATGCAGCTCCACACGGTTGGTACTTTTTTCTGGCTTGCAGTTGTCGGCTTGTCAGTGTTTAGAGTTTGGGGTTTACAGTTTTTGTGTTTTGGAGTTTTGGTGGTCAAGCTTCAAAGTTTTCATCGGTAGCTGTACAGTGCGGATGGCAATGAAAGATGAAGGCCTGCGTGCCTGTTCACAAGAAGTAGCGCTTCTTTGCGGTGTGGGAACACATGTTGTGCTGTCCGGGCGGACTTACACACATTGCTATGGGTTTTCGGCGGTTCAGGGCTGTTACTGTTTTGGGTTCCGTGTTTTGTGGGGTTTTATGCCTTAGGGTTTGCGACCTGAGGTTCGGGGTGTTTAGGGTTTAGGGTTTTGAGCTTATAGTTCAGTTCCGGCTTGCGCATATCCCGCGCGAATCGAATTCTCCGCCGCCTCAGTGCTTAAATCCTTCCGTTTAAATTCACCTTGGACCTTCCAGTGTGCGAATGCGCGGCATCGGTTGATGCATTCGAAGCATGCTGTAATTGTCGCAGCCTCTAGCAAGCCTGCCTGCTGACGTGTCTCGATTTTTTGAAGAGCAAGAGATCAGCATGAGGAAATGGAATGAATGTTTCGAAAGAGCGAACAAGACTCACGACTTTAGAAGTGAAGCTCCAGGATCTGCCTTGGCAAAGTCGCCTTGTTGTGTTCATGGAATTCTGTTGAATGCTTCGGTCAAGGAGATGCAGGGTTGTCAGATGGCAAGAGCCTTGGGACGAGCATGAAGAGATCAAAGGCAGACGGACAAGTTTGATGACTCAGAGATCGAGGAGATCAGTAGTCGCCGAGGTCATGGACTTTATTCATTCTGGGTATTCGTGCGCGACGATGGTTTGTGCCTCAGCATCTTCGCAGCCAGTGTTGAAGAATCCAGGGAGCTCCCCATGCTAGTGGTCCGAGGGTTTTGGACATTCCACTAGGGCACAGGGCACTTCCGACAAGGTGCCATCTTTTTCGCCGCCTCAACGGGAAAGAACGTCGCTTGCGATGCCAAAGCTGATGGAGCCTCCGGCAGTCGCCACAACCCCAGCCGCAAATCACTCCAAGACAGCTACTGCATCTCGACCGCCTTGCAAGGCTGATGTTCCGCCCACCTGCCTTGTTGCGTTCCATACACTTCTGCAAGTCCGCTTTGCTCTTTGTAGCTTTGCTGCGTCTTGCCAGGCAGCTGCCATCGGATCGAAGCTTCGTTTCCAGACTGCTGGCAATGCTCCCAGCACTAGTCACTAGTGAGACATCCAACGTTCTCTTCGGCTAGCTCCTGGCATAGTTGCACTGCCTGCTGGGCCCCGCTGGGCTGTCGCTGCATGTGCAGGAACAAGCCATGCAGTTCGTCACCAGATTGGCGCTTGCACTCAGTATGTTCAAGGAAAGCTTGTCCCTGAAAGCTAGTCTTTGAATCTGGCAGCATTTTCGTCAGCACTAGATAGTCTAGATATTCGCCTCGAGCAATTGGCTCTTCGCCATGATCGATGCGAGTGAAGCACCTGCAGCGCCTGAGCTGGAGGCCGTGTTCGCAGGGGTGGGAGGGGTGAGTTGCAGAAGAACCTATTTTGCTGTCAGCAGTTTGTTCTCCTAGCATGCTCCTTGACTTGCAGCATTTGCGAGCGTAGACATCAAGCAAAGGCATACCTGGAGTCTACGCATCAACATCCAAAACAGGGCGGCACACTCACTCGTGGTCGGTAACATCGCGCACCCATAGACACACCCCTTTGAGTCACATCCAAATGTGGCATCCAAATGTGGCTCTGGCCATGGTGGCTTCAAGTGGCTCTTTCGCTGGTCGCGGCCCAGCGCTCCAAGGCCCAGGACGCTCAGTCTCACGAAATCGTCAAGTTTGGGCTACTTTTTCAGCTATGTGCCACTCATGCCCAGGGGGTGTTTGTTCTGAAAGCAGCATCACGGAGCACAGGTGCCAGGCATAGAAATGAATTTGGAAATCTGACAGCAGTAACTGCAGGAGGGCCCTGCTGACTGTGATGCTGGGCGGCAGAACGTGGCCGCTTCGAATGCAAGCCAACCAAAAATGACATGAGAACAAGAATCGCAAATGCGAGCTGACCAGGTTGAGAACTTTGATTTCTCCCGCGCCAGCTTTGCACAGCCGGTAGCAGAAGGAGATGACTTTGAGGATGCATTCTATCCCGCTGCTTGAACAAAGATATCATTTCTTGCCCAACTACGACCTCGTAGGTTGACCAAGAATGAAACTCATGCAAGGATGTCGGATCCTACGACGATTTGCCTGAGAATTTAGAGGCTCCTCACCGTTGCAAGCACTGGCAAATATTCTGGCCTACATCAATTCTCAGTTGTCAGGCTGCTGGCAATGGAGATGTAGCTTCAGGTCCGAATGAATCTTGCTGCCGTCTTCAAAGCGACGCAGCATTAAGACTCTGCCAAGCCCTTAACAGTCAAGCTGCAGTTGAGAACGGAGAAGCGTGCCCAGCCTGAGGTGCCAACAAGACGTCCCCTCTTTTAAATGCAGGAGATCCACCGTTGCTCATGCGCAGATGTGTCAGACTTTGCTCGACAGCTGGCTCGGCAACGGTTGGTATGTCTGTATGTCCGGTCTGGGATCTGAGGCTGGCCTTGGTCGTGTCCCATTCCCCGAAGAAGCTTCGAAACGGAGCTTTGACGGGCGCTCTCAATGCGATGTGGTGCGCTGAACAAGGACTGCAGACGGTGTCGGTAGCGACGGTTGGGACAAATCGCCTCAGCCCCTTCAGGATACCCGTTCGTCCTGGACCAGCGCAACGTGGAGCCAGCGTCAACGAAGTGCCAGGCCTCGGGTCCTCGGACTTGGGTTGGCTGGTTGGCAGTTCTTGGCAGCAGATAGGATCGCGCATCACGAGCTGCGGCACTGGAGTTTTGATATGGGATTGGGGCTGAACCTACACAAGCGCCATGCCTCACTGCTACAATGCTACACTGTCTTCCAGGTGTGCTTTCGCGATCGCTCTTAGAACAGCCTTGCGACGTAGATGGTGGTGGCACAGGGCGCCGGTTGACCCACTCTGCCTGCATTCGATCCTTTGCAGCTTACTGCTGAAAGTCGCACAGTAGGGAACCGCCTTTGTCGCCCCTCCCTCGAATCGGGGACTGCCCTTTCCATCTGGCTGTTGCCGGCCGAGAAGAGGAATCAGAATGGTCGGCTTTCAGGTGATCCCTCACTGGCTGGAGACCTGCCAGCGGGAAGGCATCAAGTGGATGCTGTGGCTCGTGGCTAGGCACGATAGCTTCTTCTGTCTGGAATTTGCCTCTATGAACACGGCTTGAAAGGACAGTGACACCATCTTGGTGGGGCAAGACGCCAGCCTTGATTTTGTCGCCGATGCCGACCCCCGAGTCATGTGTTGTCAGGCGGTCCAAGTGCACGTTGGTGTTTCACAGGCAGCGGTACATGCAGGTTTCGGGAGTGCAAGCACGCGGCATAGCGGCATGTAAGGTCGCAGGGAAGTTTACCGGCAGTGATGCCCAGATCATTCTCACCACCGCCCAGAACTCTTCTGTCAGATCCCTGGCAGCTGCCGTGCGCTGCTCGCCCCAACAAGTGCATTGCTTGTTCACCGAGGACAGGCAGCTTACAAGTTCTGCAGCCGCAGCCAGCTTTGGCATAATCTTTCTGCGATGTGCTGGACCTGGTCGGTCGGGGTTATCTGCATATCAGAGGTGGTGACCATGCAGCTCATCTTGAGAGTTTGCAAATGAGGCAGTGACTGGATGAGATCTTTGATGGAGAGAGTGGGGAACGAGAGCTTGGATCAGGGAATACCTGATGATGAAGCCCTGAGAGAGGTTTTTCTCTCCGGCGATTTGGAGGCCATCGTACTATTCAGTAGCTGTGGTGACACAGCCATTTTGAACCAGAACGGCTCAGCTATCTAGTGCGAACCTCCAGGAGAAGCGGCGGCGCTTCATCCAGCTGCCACCACAGGCAACGAATGCTGCATCTCTACTGTCACCAATGGCTGAGCCACAGCCGGTAGCTTGGCTGACTTACGCTTGCAAAGGGGTCGGTCTCAGCCCGACTTGTGAGTGTGGCAGCGCGATGGGAGCACTGGCCGCGACTACATCGCGCTCCAAGCACGTAGAGTTGAATCTCACACTTGAATCACGTGCGAGCCCCGAGGGTTGCTGTGAACTAAGGTTGAGGGTTTCTGTGTCCGTGGGCGGCCTAGGCGGTTCCTCTCACCGAGCGGCCGAGCGGCCGAGGTGCTGCAGCTGGCCGAGCTTCCCGCCTCGATCCAGAACCACACCTTCTCCGCTGTGCTCAGAGCGCGCTGCGATCAGCCCATGCCAGGTATGACCTGGAATTCGAGCGACGCTAGACTGAGAGTAGCGAGATGCGGCGCAGTGAAATTGCATGGTTGTTGTGACCGCTTCTGAGCCAAGTTGGTGCAGCATGCCTACGAAAGCAGTTTGTTCCTTGCGGCAAGCAAAGACTTCCGAGAAGCTGGGACTTCCAGGCTCGTCTTGCAAGTTTCTGCCGAGATTTGCAGCAACTGTCGTAAAGTTTGCCGGTGCATAAAATATCAAACTGGGAAGGTATGCTTTTCTTCTGGCCAAGCGACTTAAAGAGCAAGGACGCATACAAGAGGCAGAAGACCTTCTACGCTGGGCGGTGGATGGACTTCATGCGGAGCTTGGTGAACACAAGATTGCAACTCGCCAGCCATTAAACTGCCTCGGCGTGCGGACGATTTCCTCTGATGGATGTTCCTGTCGAAGCCTAGGACACGCTCTTCGGCAAGGTAGTACTGGCGATGCGTGGAAGCAAGTGTGTGACAAGTGTAGTCATGAAGTGTCAGCTATCGCGTGTTGAGTTCTGCATCCCAACAAAGGAAATTCTTGGCAGATCAGGATCGAGTAGCTGAAGCTCGACCGCTCCTGCAAGATGCCGTGACTGCTGGACTGAAATCTCTCGGAGCTCACAACCCTGCACCTCGACATTAAAGATGACTCCTCACTCTCAGCAGCTCTCGTGTTGTGCCTGAGGTGATGCTCGACTGGCAAGAGCGTCTCGCGGCTCTGCTGCGACAGGAAGGTCTTCACCCGGAGGCTGCAGGCCTGTTTTTCTGCCCAGGAGGCATGGCCAACACAGAGTGCATTTCTGCAAAGAGGCGTGCTGCGGCAAGTCATCCGTGGTCGTCGAAGATGGCGCGAGGAGGCAGGGATTGTCAGGCGGTAGCTTCATCCGTTCGTCACACAAAGCTGCTCCATGCCTGATGCCATGTCGCTGAGATTCGCTGGGTGAACTTCCCTCTCGACTGTTGTACCAGAGCTGCGACTCACGTCGTGGCCCCCAGGCCAAAGTGAAGGCTGCGGCGCTGCAGCTGCACAAGATCCTTCTCATCGCCAGCCGCTATGAGCAACTAGCTGTTTTGCGGCAGCATCCAACCACAGATCACAGAGTGGCCCGCACGCTAATGTGATTCGTGCGAGGTGCGAACGCTCCATCCCCCGAGCAGCTGATCGAAGAGACCATGTCGAAACTCGTCTGATTGGGGGAAGACGATCGAGACAGCTTGGGAGCATCTCCCTCAAGGAGTTTCCCCGATGCCGCGGACAGCATCGCACGTCAAAGGCTCATCAAGGCCAACGAGTCTCCCGGCAGCAGCCATGCGCTTGCTTCACTCCATCATCTGCCAAACTCACTCTTTGTTTGTTGTGCGCCTGGCTGAGGAAGTCGTCGAAGCTTTCGGGCGAGGGGAATCTCAACCAAGCAGAATGGGTTCTCAAGCGAGCGCTTGAGAAATCTACCCTGGTGCTGGCCTCATGCCATGCAGCAGTTCTTCTCATCTTGCGTATCGACACGAACTCAAGTCCGGCTGGCTGAGGTTTTGCCTGTGGCCGATCCGGACTTGCTTGTGAGCCGGCTCAACTTAGGAGCCGTTTCCGGCTTTGCTGTGAAAGCATGCGGCAGCTTCTTCTTCTCCCATGGGTGGGAGCAAAACCGGTGACACCAATAACTTGCAGAGCAATCGGGCCTGTGGTGTAGATCGCTCAAAGCCAGAGTCAGAATTTGGAGAATCGACCAGAGGCTATGATCTGTGTGGGAGTATCGCGTTGAAGGTCAGAGCAATCACACAACTCGAACCATGAAGGATGACCTATTTGAGCGTTTGAGAAGCGAGTTGGCACGAGGGAGGGCCCTGGCAAAAATCGCCGGCACTGATTGAGATGCAAGGGAGGCCGCGGATTCAGCTACCGTAGCCTACGTGCTTTTCATCCGCCTGTAGCTCTCCCCGCAGCGGTTGGCATCCTCGTTGTCGCAGTGGCTGTGGGCAGAGTTGGTTGCCCAAGCGGAGGCCCCATCGCCCTAAAGTGCGAGCAGCACACAGCTCGCAACGCCGGTGGTTACTGGGTATCAGAACTTTACTCTTCCAAGTGCGGCGGTTCAAGTCCCATGGATGCCTTTGGCGGAATGAAAGCTTCATGACATTTTGCGTCGCTTTGACCTTCCGGCATAGCTCCGGTCCATCTGATGGGGAGCAAACAGTT